AAGGAAAAGGCTACGGCAACAGCAAAACCTATAGCAACCGACGACGAAGCTGTAGCTACAGCTACGGCAACCGACGACGAGTTCCCCCCATCTGCCTTGGGAGCGACGTGTCACGCTGAGGCTGGTGGGGCCTGCTGCAGGCGCTCTCGCAACTCTGGGCTGGTCCCCGATGCTGGGGGCTGAGCGGCGCCTGTAGCGGCAGCAAATGACGCAGGACAACATGAAACTGTGCTCGACGCGGCTGGGGCTCCACCTTCAGCCTCAGAAGACGCCGCGCCCTGAGCACCATCACCCTCGCCTGAAGTTCACGAGCTTCGCCTCCAGGCACTGCAGCTACACCGATTCTAGTTTTGCACTTTTTCTTCCTGAGCGTCGTAGGATGTTTCTTGTGCTCCCGTCTGGCATTGACACAAGCTTCGCTTGCGCCACCCAAGAGCTGCTTGGCTGCCTCACGGAAGTGGTTCTGGAACAGCTTCTTGCGATCGCCGAAGATCCTCTGATCCTCGGGCGTGACCTCGAAATCATCAAGTTCCTTGCAGGTGTTCTCATGACCCCGAAGCTCTTCTCGAAGGTTTCTGATAGCAAGCTCGAGCGGCTCCTTCTCTGCACGCCACCTGTCGAGTTTGTCCAGCTCCTTCCCCAAGCGCTCCTCACACTGCTTGATTTTGGACCAGGCTTGGCCCGCCTTAGTGCAGCGATGTGGGAGAACCAACTCAGTGCTTCTCGCGTGCCAGCTGGGCCTCTCGCTCACGCTCGTACTCTTTGAATAACCCCAGCCAGCCCTGCTTGGCCAAGACACACAAGCCTTCCAACTCTGGTGAGGCCCTCTGTGGCAAAGGAAACCGACTTAGTGGAGAGGGGCGGCCAAGACTTCCATCCACCCCAGACCGGCCCAGACAAAGGAACAGAAGGTATCTCATCGCCTGTTGTTGCGCCGTTTGTTCTGAACGCGCCCAAGTAGACGAAGTCGCTACCGCGGCAAACCGCCTGGCGAACCTTTCGTTCAAGGCGGAGCTTGCCCTGGTGGCCGAGGCACTCTCCCCTAGACGCAAGGCAGCGCGTCGGACCAAACGGCGTGGCGACACTTGAACTATCATTCAAGTGAAGAGTTAGCACCGGATGATCCTTCTGCAGCATGGGAGCCGAAATCGATTGCGATTGATCTCCACAATGCTTGCAAGACCACCATGCGTAGAGATTCCTGCCGCTTCCGCAGGATCCTCGTGTCCACTCCGCCACCTTGCGCCTCGGAAGGCGCAAGGTGGCGGCGTGGACTATCGCGTCTGCTGAAGGGGAATCGTTAGACTAAAGAGCCGATGGCTCGCGAAAGCAGTGCCCTTCTGAAGTTCGCCGCCGACAAGCCCAGAACCTTCTGGACCAGAAAGGCTTGAGGAGGAGGAGGAGGAGGAGGATTGTGGCGGACGAGGGGATGGAACGCATGACTTACCTGGGCTTCCCCCGCGCCCGTCCCCGCCGCCTCCTCAGAGGGCACAACGGCGGCAGGTGGCGCGTCGAAACTCTCGTCGCCGCCGCCGCCGCCGACGCCGTGGTCGCCGCTGCCCCGCCGCCGCTCCCAGACGACGTCGCGATTTGTTCTACAGCGTGGATCCCCAGAGGTATGACGGGAACAAACAATGACATCAACATGAACTTTCTGAGGTCCTTGTGGACCTCTGAAAGTTTTTGTTCTGTCACCGTTCGTTCCCCGACGCGTGAACCTCTTCCTGGGGAACAATTTTTTGGTGGTAACATCGAGAATGGATACGGACAGAATGGGGAGGATGACTGACCGCAGTTGTTGCCCATTTGATCACGATTCACTGTCGGTGCCGCTGCGGGCATTTTCCGTTTGAGACAGAAGGCCGCCTTCCCAACAGCGGCCGATGTCGACTTTGGACAACTTGCGTTGTTGGCATCGTACCCATCCTTTCCGTCCCAACTTTGATCGTCCAAATGTTTATCCTGAATCTCTTTTGGAAGGCTCCAGAGCCCGGGAAAAGCCCCCAGAGGCCGAACATTGCCCACAACGAAACGCCGTGATCGGAGGCTGGGGGGTGAGATCGCAGTGGTACGGAGACCCCCGCCCAGGATATCGTTCCGTCTCGTTCGTGTCGTGGGTGCGGGCGAGGCGAAGCTGCGTGGGCGCGCGAGAGGAATGAACCCGCCGTTGCTAGGGCGAAATCAAGGCAAATGATTATCCCCCTCCCGCCCGTCCGGCGGTGGCCCGAGGTGTCCCGTGGTGTCCCGTGGTGTCCCAAAAAGTGAGATCGATAGTGAGATCGATACTGAGATCGACAGGTGTCCCGTGGTGTCCCGTTGAGTGAGATCGATAGTGAGATCGATACTGAGATCGATGTGGTGCCCCGTGGTGTCCCGTGGTGTCCCGTGGTGTCCCGATGAGTGAGATCGATAGTGAGATCGATGTGATGCCCCGTGGTGTCCCGTGGTGCCCCGTTGAGTGAGATCGATAATTCGCCGGCCCAACGGGCCAGAGGCGTGCTAAGATCTCCGGTAACTGGTAAACAGTATTTCTGGTTCGCGCGCGCGGGGCGGCCCCTGGGGGTCCCTGGATCAAAAGTACCCCGGGAGGAGCCCGGGACACGCCCGGGACACTCCCCCAGATCCTCCAGGATCGCCCCAAGAGGGCCCCAAGAGGCCCCCAACACAATCCAAGAGAGGTCCGAGACGCCCGAAGATCGCTCCACGGCGCCCAAGATGGCCTCCAGACGGCCCAAGAGGTCTCCAAGATGACCCAACAAGCCTCCAAGATGCCCCAAGAGGCCTCCAGGAGCACTCCCAAGAGGGCCCCAAGAGGCAAACAAACAATGCTTTTTCTTAGGTTTTGGACAGATTTGGGCGTAACCTTTTCGGTTCCCCGACGCCCCTAAACGGCCCAAGAGGCCTCCAAGATCGCCCCAAGAGGGCCCAAGAGGCCCTCAAAAGGGCCCTAAGACGGCCCAAGACGGCTCCAAGACGGCCCAAGAGGCCTCCAAGACGGCCCAAGAGGGCCCCAAGAACGCCCCCAACACGGTCCAAGAGAGGTCCGAGACGCCCGAATATCGCTCCACGGCGCCCAAGATGGCCTCCAGACGGCCCAAGACGTCTCCAAGATGGCCCAAGAAGCCTCCGAGATGCCCCAAGAGGCCTCCAAGAGAACTCCCAAGAGGGCCCCAAGAGGCAAAAAACTGTGCTTTTCCTTTGGTGTTCGACAGATTTGGGCGTTTCAACCTTTTCGGTTCCCCGACGCCCCTAAACGGCTCAAGAGGCCTCCAAGATCGCCCCAAGAGGGCCCAAGAGGCCCCCAAGAGGGCCCCAAGACGGCCCAAGACGGCTCCAAGACGGGCCCAGAGGCCTCCAGGACGGCCCCAAGAGGGCCCCAAGAACGCCCCCAACACGGTCCAAGAGAGGTCCGAGACGCCCGAATATCGCTCCACGACGCCCAAGATGGCCTCCAGACGGCCCAAGACGTCTCCAAGATGACCCAAGAAGCCTCCAAGATCCCCAGGAGGTCTCCAAGTGCATTCCCAAGAGGGCCCCAAGAGGCAAACAAACAATGCTTTTCCATAGGTTTTGGACAGATTTGGGCGTTTCAACCTTTTCGGTTCCCCGACGCCCCTAAACGGCTCAAGAGGCCTCCAAGATCGCCCCAAGAGGGCCCAAGAGGCCCCCAAGAGGGCTCCAAGATGGCCCAAGACGGCTCCAAGACGGCCCAAGAGGCCTCCAAGACGGCCCAAGAGGGCCCCAAGAACGCTTCAAGAACGCCCCAAGAGGGGGTTCACGAAACAGAATTTCGAGCTCTCGGCCCTTAGAGGCCCCTGGGAGGCCCCAAGACGCCCTCAAAGGCCCCAAGAGGCCCCCAAGAGGCCCTCAAGAGGCCTAGAGGCCTCCAAAAGGCCCTCTGGAGGCCTCCAAAAAAACCCTCAGGAGGCCCCCAGGACGCCTCCAAGACTCCAGCCAGACGCGACTTGGGAAACGCGGGTCGGGGTGGTCCTCCTCCCCCGCGTTCGGCCTCCAGCCTCGAGCCTCGACCCTCCACGACGACGACGACGCCGGCGGGCGGCGGCGGCGGGCGGCGGCGGCGGCGACGACGACGACGACGACGACGACAAAGGCGCTCCTCATCGCTCCTCATCCCCCTCCTCCTTCCTCCTCCTCCTCCTCCTCCTCCTCCTCTTCCTCCTCCCCCTCCTCGTCGTCCTCCTCCTCCTCCTCCTCCTCCTCCTCCTCCTCCTCCGGTCCAATTAGAAAAGAGATGGTAAGAGAAACGCCACAAGAAAGTATTCCTTCACGCCCGTGTCCGCAACGCCAGAGGACATTAGGACGATAACAGAGCCAACGTTAGCATTCAAAGCCCGCCACCCTCCGACACGAGGGTTCCCCTATCGCATAAGATGTCTCTTCCACCGGCTCGAACGGCCCCACAGCGGGATACCACGGGTCGGGTAACACGCCCCCACGATGGCACCAAAGCCGTCAAAAAACTGCAAACACCTAGAAGCCCCATGAAAAAACACTAACACATTTATCGACAACTACACAGCTCCCGACGCCGCAGCTCCACACTGCAAACGACCACTCGGACAGGCGACCACGGTGCGACATTATGGGCCAGCGGAATGAGCGAAGCGATTAAATAAAACCAATAGTGAGATCGAGAGGTGTCCCGCGGTGTCCCGTGGTGTCCCGTGGTGTCCTCTTGAGTGAGATCGATACTGAGATCGATACTGAGATCGATAGTGAGATCGATGTGGTGTCCCGAGTTGTCCCGTGGTGTCCTATGGTGTCCCGTTGAGTGAGATCGATAGTGAGATCGATAGTGAGACCGATAGTGAGATCGAGAGGTGTCCCGCGGTGTCCCGTGGTGTCCCGTGGTGTCCTGTGGTGTCCCATTGAGTGAGATCGATCGTGAGATCGACAGTGCGATCGATGTGGTGGCCCGTGGTGTCCCAAGGTGTCCCGCGGTGTCCCGTTGAGTGAGGTCGATAGTGAGATCGATTGAGTCAGATGTTGATTCCCCCCCTCTCCCCCCCGCCACAACCTCCTTATCACCAGAAGGGTGGTCGTATAGGTCTCTTGAAAACGGGAGGATGTCCGGATTGCAGCCGCCGTCGCCGCCGCGCCGCCTCCGTGGGGGCGGCGGCCGCGGCTGCGCCCCTCCCCGGCCGCTGCGCCGCCGCGCCGGCCGCCGCGGCGGCGCCGCTGCCAGCCCTGCTGCGCTGCTGCGGCGGCTCATCGCCAGCCTGTTGCGTCGGTCGGCGGAGGGCCAAATCCGCACGTCGTGGAGGAATCGCGACCTGAGGTTCTTGATCGAGTCCGGCCTCCCGGGGCCCTCACCGTCCCCGGGGACCGGCCAAAAACTGCCCGTGGTGAAATGCAGAGGTCTGGGAGGAGAGAGCCGAGGAGGATGAGGAGAGGTGAAGAGTTGGCCTGAAATGAGGCAGAGGAGGATAGGGGAAACCAAAAAGGAGGAGGAGGACGACAACGACGACGCCTCGACGACGACGACGACAACGACGACGACCTCGACATTCCCAGGGGAGGGGACTTCCAGACCTCCGGAGAGCCACGCCGTAAAGAAAAAGCACGGCGTCGGATTTCCGGGACGGCAGCCCTTCCTGAGGGATAGACTAATCAAAGGTCGACCAAGATGGGACGGGCCCCAGGGTTCAACGGCCCCCCTGCAGGTGGGATGGGGGGGACGACGACGACGACGACGACGACGCCGGCGACGACGACGACGCCGCCAGCGCAGACGACGACGACGACGACGGCGACACCACCGCAGTCGCCGCCGACGACGACGACGACGACGCCGACGCCGCCGCCGCCGACGACGACGACGCCGCCGGCGCAGACGACGACGACGACGCCGACGACGCCGCCGCCGACGACGACGCCGACGCCGACGACGACGCCGCCGCCGACGACGCCGACGACGACGCCGACGACGACGGCGACACCGACGCCGCCGACGATGATGACGACGCTGTCGCCCACGCCGACGCCGCCGCCCACGCCCACGCCCACGCCGACGCCGACGCCGAGGCCGCCGCCGACGCTGACGCCGACACCGACGCCGCCGCTGCAGACGACGACGACGACGCCGACGACGACGAAGCCGCCGACGCCGCCGCCGCGGCCGCCGCCGCCGACGACGACGACGACGACGCGGCCGCCAACGACGACGACGCCGCCGCCGCCGCTGCCGCCGACGACGACGACGCCGACGCCGCCACCGCAGCCGCTGCCGACGACGACGACGCCGACGGTAACGACGACGCCGCCGACGACGCCCACGCCAACACTGCCGCCGCCGTCGCCGCCACCGACGACGCCGCCGACAACAACGCCGGCGACAACGACGACCCCGACAACGCCGCTTCCGCCGCCGCCGCCGACGACGACGACGACGATGACGATGCCGCCGCCGCCGCCGCGGCCGCCGCCGCCGTCGACGACGACGACGACGACGCCGACGCCGACGCCGACGCCGCCGCCGCCGACGACAACGACCGCGGCCGCCGACGACGCCAAGGTCGACGACGACGACGCCAGCACCGCGACGATGACGCAGCCAACGCCGCTTCCGCCGCCGCCGCCGACGACGACGACGACGCCGCCGCCGCCGCCAACGACGCAGACGATGACGACGAAGCCGACGACGACGCCGAAGCCGATGCCGACGCCCACGCCGAAGCCGCCGCCGCCGCCGCCGCCGCCGCCGCCGACGACGACGACGACGACGACGACGTCGCAGACGCCGACGCCGCCGCCGAAGCCGACGACAACGCAGACGACGATGCCGACGCCGACGATGACAACGACAACGACAACGACGACGACGATGACAACGACGACGACGACGACGACGCAGACGCCGACGCCGACGCCGAGGCCGCCGACGACGACGCCGCCGACGACGACGCCGCCGACGACGCTGCCGCCGACGACGACGAGAACGCCGCTTCCGCCGCCGACGACGACGACGCCGACACCGTCCCCGCCGCCGACGACGCCGCACCAGCCGCCGACGACGAAAACGCTGGCGACGACATCGATACCGCGACGCCGCAGCCACCGCCGGAGACTACGACGATGCGGTCGCTGGCCGCCGCCGCCGACCACGCCGACGTCGACGACTACGACGATGCCAACGGCGCCGACGACGACGCCGCCGACGACGACGACGCCGCCGACGACGGCAACAACGACGACGACGCCGCCGCAGCCGCCGTCGTCGCTGCCGACGCCGACGACGACGCCGCCACCGCCGCAGCCGACGACGTCATCGCCGTCGCCACCGCCGACGACGACGACGACGCCGCCGCCGACGCCGACGACGACGCCGACGCCGCCACCGACGCCGACACCAACACAGACACCGGCACCGCCGCCGCAGACGATGACAACGCTGTCGCCGACGAGGACGCCGCCGCCCAAGCCCACGACCACGCTCACGTAAACGTCGGCGCAGACGCCGACGCCGACACAGACGCCGCCGCCGCCGCAGAAGATGACGACGCGACAACGACGATGACGACGACGACGACGACGACGACGACGACGACGACGACGACAACGATACAGACGACGACGACGCCGAAGCCAACGCCGACGCCGACAACGACGCCGACGCCGATGCCGACGCCGACTTCGACACCGACGCAGCCGCAAACGATGACAACGTCGTCGCCAACGCCGACGCCGCCACCCACGCCCACGACCACGATCACGCCGGCGCCGCCGCCGACGCTGACGACGACACCGACGCAGCCGACGCCGCCGCCGCAGACGATGACGACGCGACGACGACGACGCCAACGCCGACGCCGACGCCGACACCGACGCCGCCGCCGCAGACGATGACGACGCGATGACGACGACGACGACGACGACGACGACGACGACGACGACGACGACGATGCCGACGACAACGACGACGACGACGACGACGACAACGCAGACGCAGACGACGACGACGACGACGACGACGACGCCGCCGCCGCCGCCGCCGCCGCCGCCGCCGCCGCCGACGACGACGACGACGACGACGACGACGACGACGACGACGACGACGACGACGACGACTACGACACCGACGACGACGACCCCGAAGCCGACGCCGACGCCGACGCCGACGCCGACGCCGCCGCAGACGATGACAACGCTGTCGCCCACGCCGACGCCGCCCTCCCACGCCCACGACCACGCTCACGCCGACGCCTACGCCGACGCCGACACCGACGCAGTCGCCGCCGCCGCCAACAATAACGACGCGACGACGATGCGTGCACGCCGACGCAGACGCCGACACCGACGCAGCCGCCGCCGCAAGCGGTGACGACGCAACGAGGACGACGACGACGACGACGACGACGACGACGACGCAGCAGACGCAGCCGCCGACGCCGACGCCGACGACGCAGCAGATGCCGACGCCGACGCCGACGACGACGCTGACGCAGACGACAACGCCGACGCCGAAGCCGCCGACGATGACGACTACGACGACGGAAGATGACGACGGTGACGCCGACGGCGACGACGCCAACGAACCAACCCACCCACCACACCCACAAGGGGGGAGGGGGGAACACCGGCACTCTCCACCACGCCACGCCCACAGGGCCACGACCACAGGGGGAGCGCGTGAGCGATCCCATTGGCGGGGCATTCGCGAGGCTCGAGGGCGCACATATCCAGCAGGAGGGGGGGGGGCTCGATCCCATATGCATGGGGAGGGGCAACCCTGGATCGTGTATGACCCCCGAGAAGGGTCTGGGGGCCGATTCTGAGAGGATCCCGGCCGGGCAGGAGGGCCGCCGCGGCCTCAGCTGGCCCAACTCCGACGGAGCGCGGGAGCGGGAGACGCTACTCACTGGAGAGACCGCCGAGCCTCTCGCCTGGCCCTCTCGGCTTTGCTGCCAGCATGGGGCCAGACCCCCCTTGCATCAGGTCGGGCCTGTCCCCCTACAGGGGGATTTTGGACGAAAAATAACAAGTACTCAAAAAATGCTCAAAAGATGCCCAAAAATACTCAAAACTAGTCCCCTGACTATTTTTAACCATTTTTGAATATTCCCCCTCTATAGGGACAGGCCCGACATAACCCTTGCAGCGGTGCCGAGGCAGCACTTGGGATGACCCTCGGCTCTGCCGGCGGGAGTGGGAGCGGGAGCGGATGCGCAGGAGCCGTGCGCGCGGCCGCGTGCGCGGCCAAGGCAGCAACAAAGGACACGAGGGACGACTCAAAAGAGCACCCACGCTGGACGCGCCGAAGACGGCGAGGTCAGAGCTTCTGGGGATCACCAAGGACCCCGGGGGGGTTCTTTCGTGCTGCTGCTCCTCCCCTCTTCCTCCTCCTCCTCCTCCTCCTCCTTCTCCTCCTCCTCCAATTCCTCCTCCTCCTCCTCCTGGTTCTCCTCCTCCATCCTGCACCTCCACCTCCTCCATTCTGCTCCCTCCTCCTCCGCAGTCATGTTGGCTCAAGGCCATCTGCGGACCCTCCGGCCTTCCACACGTGTAGTTGCTGAGCAATGTTCTTACGTTTGTGGTGTCATGTGTTAGATAAGTCTCATGCGAGGGCCGTAATTTAAACATGTGCGCGCCTCCGTCCGTGCATATGTTGCAGAATTTGAAGATAAATGTGCGCATAGGGAATATGGGAAACAAGTAACTTGATACATTGTAAGCCTCGGGGAAAAAAAGGAATTTCAAAGAGGTCTCAAGCGAAACGCCCTACGAATACGTCTGGCAATGCGACCGGGAGGGGATGTCCATAAGAGAGAGGGGTGAAGGAGGCAGGGGAGGAGGGGGAGCGAGAGGGGGAGGAGGACGGAGGGAAGAAGCAGGAGGAAAAGGAGGCTGGAGAGGGAGAACGATGAGAGGGGGGGAGAGTGAGGACGAAGGCGAGGAGCATAAGGAACAACGAGGAGGAGGGAGGAGGGAGAGGAGCGCGCACAGTACATCAGTCGAGAGGGCCCCGCATCGTTGTTGAATGAGATGGCTTACGGCGCCAGCTTGGGAGAAGACAGAACGGGATGCGGGAGGTAGGAACCGCGCACGCCTGGCCGCGGACTGAAGGCCCTGCCGCGTGCAGTCTTCTCTGGATGATGCTGTGAGGGCACGCGAGGCGTCAAAGACGATATCTTTCTCGGAGGA